TTTAATACATCTTCTCTGTATAATAAGTAAGTCTGTTGTTAATGAAATCGAAAATAAATAAATGGACAGATGACGTTGTTAATGAACAAGTTCTGTTCCCGAGTATTGATTGAAACTGTCGGGCAGTGTTGTTGATGCTGAAAACTTAAAACAATTAAGAAGAATTGTGAAATATTCGGCCTCATGTTATAGGAGCAGAACTAAACTATGTTTTGGGGAAATATTACATTCCTGACCTCTTTTACAGTCTAAATATAGGCTATTATAGTTTAGATAATTTTTTTATACTATCCCATGAGTCCTAATAAATGCAATTTCAACTATTTCTAAAGTGCTTATTTTATAAAGAGCACCGCTTTTTCTTTTATCGGGAAACGCAGCCCAGGTATGATGCGTAATGGAGATTCCAAAGCGCTCTTCTTTGGTCAGAACCAAGGAGAGCGATCGCGGATAGGTCCGTCCTGACTAGGGTTGGGTACCGAAACTCGGTGCCAATAGGGAACCGGTTCCGACGTAAACGGTAGTAACTAGACCGAATAAGAACGACAATTTCGGTGCCTGATTTCGGTGCCTGACTTAATTATGCACACACGCACACATACACGCAGTCTCTTCTGTCTCGCATGCGCCCTCTTGCAATGCTCGCAAGGTTTGGCTGCATTTCACGTGTAAAAAAATTACGCGTCAGAACGCCCTCTGGGTGTGCCAATAGTCTGAATCCCATATAGAATCAAGCCAATACATTGGCTAATGGCGCGGGCGCCGCCTCGACGCACTTACGTCGTCATATTATGTTGGCGCGCGCGCGCCATCTGCTCCTCAGATTTCTCTGCCGAAAAAGGAAGCTGGTCGGCAGCGCGAGGAGCTTGGCAGCGTCTCGTTCCCTATTGAGAGAACATAGGTTACACCAGTAACCAGAGATGTTCTCTTTCATAGGTTCACTCAACGCTGCGTAGCTAAGAAGCAGTGGATTTGTAGGCTGCTGTATCACGTGCCGTTTGAAACTGACGCGCTACAGCGATCTGTCACATTTCAAAGAGCCAAAACATTATTTATTGTGTATTTAATGTGAATCTCGTAAAAATATTGACAGAATCTGACAGCTGTGGATTTGTTCCATATCAAAAGTAACCTTCTCTGTCTTGTCTGTCGGTGTCCTCTTTGTCCGCGATTTTTCTCTGCGTGAGAAAATCGATATGTGGCGTGCGTGAGCGTGTGAAAAGGGTCAAATGCGTGAGACTCACGGTCAATGCGTGAGAGGTAGCTCTGCCTGCTAGTAATCTCTATTAATCTCCAGTATTATTACATACATTGTTTGATACAATATTGTTTTATTTGATATTATGTATATGTGTAAAATGTAATGTACATTTTTATTTTATATTGGTTTAATTATTACCATATGTTACTTGTATTTATTTTGTTTAATGATTTAAGTTAATGTTGTGTCCAGTTTGGCCCTGTAAATAAAAGGGTATTATTTTTTGATAAAGTGTGTGCAGTTTCGTTTTCTTAACCGTTTAAGCACCGGAACAGTTTAAAAAATACCGAGTAGGTACTGGTATCGGATAAAACCCAACCGATACCCAACCTAGTCCTGACTCAATATGCACCGAAACTTTTTAACAATGCAACAAAATATTTAAAGAGCATCAAGCTATTAAAATCTGTATTATGTATAGCCTACGTACAGATAATATAGCAGTATATTAGTCAGTAACTTTTATTAGGTTAAACAGTGATTGGATAACGTTTTTAATTTAACGTTTTTAATTTAAGGCCCACCCACAATTGACCGTTCGCAGGCCCCTCCCCCAAAACGGCTATTGTCCAATCACACATCATAGCAACCGTTACTATGTGAGCAGGTCCGTCAAACATTGACTCCAAGCAAGATGGTGAAGCGGTGCGCCCACGGCGTTTGTAAATCGGACACTAGGTACCCCGATAGATTGTCTGGAGGAGTTGTGTTCTTTTCGTTTCAAAAGCCGAAAACACAACGTGCGCTGTCCCTACAATGGATAAAAACAGTGTGGACGGCCCCACTCCCAGTTAAATGTGCCGAACATGGTTAACTCGCGTGCAGCGTGCGTGAGACTGAGACAATGAGATTAGTCAAAGACACATGGAGAAAGCAGATCAAGAGGATCCACAAAGGAAGTACGTTTTCTTAAGTGTTGTTGTTAACATGATATTTTCTGGGGGGAAATGAGCAGCAGTCACTAGCGCAGGCAGCACCTGTAGACTACAGTTTAGACTAACGTTAGAGGAGTGCACGTTCGCAACGGGGAACGCATGATGCTTAATTGACAACATCCGTTTATATCAATATCGTAACGAATAGAAATAATGTATGGTTATCTGCATCTTTCCGTCTATTATGTATAGTTACTTTTTAAACACGAAAATCGCATTTAGCATGACACGCAAGCGGTTTCCGTGGCAATGAACCTGCTTGTTAAAGCGAATGAATAATCCTGTATCTGAGGCAAAATTACTAAATATGCAGCGCGAGTTATATATTTCTAACTCCAAACAATTAGCCACTGAAACAGCTTATAGAATCTTCTTCAAGGCTGTGCTGGTTGCATTTGAGGTAACGTTACATGTCATGGGGTTTCTCAGATTTCGCTTGAGACCGGTTTGAGAGCATTATTAGCCTCGATAGTAGTCGTGTCTCCTTCATTGCGTATTTTTATATTTTGAATATATCCCTCCACTGTATACTGTAACCTTTTGCCTCGATCTGGAGGATATCGCGGAGGTATTGCTCCAAAAAAGGTCACTGACGCACCTCTTCCCGTCATGGCAATCTGTGGCGCTGGTCGTGTTTGACCATTTGTTTGACGGGCGTAGCAACAATAACTAGGGGGCGTGGCTTTTGCGAACGGTCAATTGGTCTGGCCCATCCAAACCTGAAATCCTGGCGCCGTGCCTGCACTGAGGTGAAGCTCTTACTCTAGCATGCCCCCCGAAAAAGGATGAGACTTTTACTGGTGGTTTTATGGTGTTTAATCCTTTATAATCCTTAGTCCATTCACCATATTACCAACGTAAGAGCTGAAATGTATACAAAACATGGAACTGATCAGCTAACATTGTTCACATTCACATGCTGTCTTACATTTGTGCAAAAATGAACATATTAACAGACAAAATGCTCATATCTCAACTAATTACATACCTTTTGCCTCTTCAGAGGGGCTGCAAGTATAAATTTGACGTTTAAACACGGCTCCGCGTCGAAGTTATTGCCGTATTTGAGATGACAAGCTATGCTATACACTGCGCTAGCCAGGGCGCGCGCGCTTCCAAAAAGAAAACAAAAGCGCGCAGCTTAAGACCGGAAGTCAACCATCTCAGTACAAAAATTTCAAAATAAAAGACAATAACCTCTGTAACAAAATATACTTATGGTTATTTACACCTATACTGCATTATAAGAACAGTTATAGTTATATTATTTTTTATAATTCCTTATAAGTCATGCATTTGCTTTTTCTGATCTATAAGTATGAATTCTTCAGTCGTATGGTTCCATAAATGTATTTATAAAGATGCAACCTGCATTGCTATAATGTTATTATATTATATTTACAACTTTTTAGTAATTCAGATTTATTTCTGTAAATGAATATATTGTTATTAATAGTAAGTAACTAATGTAACTAATGAACAATAATTCCTGTAATAATGGGGGGGAAACAGAACTCATTCATACAAAAAAAAATGTAATGTTACATACTAGCAAAACACTGCAAGAATATTTTTTAAGTATAATTTCAAACTGCTATAAGCAATACCATGCATATGGCTAAGGAGATATATATTTTAACAAATCAAAATTACCATTCATGACCTCTAATGCAAACATTAGCGATTAAAGACAAAATTGATAACTAATTGGTACAGCAACTGGAACTATTTTATATTAGGCTGTGAGACAGAGGGTTGATTGGTACCATTTTGAGGGATTAAACCGCATGGTGATTTTTGTGTAGGTATATGACCCTGTATTTGAAAAATGTGTGATAGCATTATCATAGCTCCGTTTTTGGTTACGGAGGATGATTTTCAAACATGTCAAGAAAAAGGATGAATGAATTTATCTTTAAATAAATTTTAAATTTTATAAAAAATTTATTAAATTTTATAACAAATTTATAAAATTTTATAATAAAAAAATCATAATTTTTTTAAATAAATTTTTTAAATTATAAAAAAAAAAAAAAATCTCTTGTAGTCACTGAACACCTTACCTTGAGGTAGGATGATATAAGTGTTGATTTCTAATGAAAGCTACCATGGATCGGATGCTATCACACATTTTCCAACACTAGAGATGTGTACCTTCATTAAAAAATCAAAAAGAAATTTAATCCCTCAAAATGGTACCGGTAGCCCAAATTTGGGGTCCCGTCTCATGGCCTATATTTGATCATTTATAAATCAGTGTATAATGGATTATGAGCATGCACATTGAAAAGGCAAATGCATGACTTAAGAAATTATAAAAAATAATATAAATGTAACCATAACTGTTCTTATAATGCAGTATAGGTTTTAATGAGTCTTTGTAAATACAATATATTTATAGAATAGTAATACTTACTTATAAATAAGTATAAATGGGACATAATAAAAAGTATAAAGGTATAAATAAGTATAAATTCATTATAAGAATGGTCTTCATATAAAGTGTTACCAAAAAATAAAATCTGCTAATAATCATAGCTGAATATTCTATACAACTAAAAATATATATATATTTCTCTGTGTTAGATGACTGTGTAAATCTTGCTACAAGAAATCTGACCCTCAACCGGACATCTCTAATTAATTCAACACCTGCAGCTACTGAGTTCTGGGAGTAAATAAACACACATTGATAAAGTGTTTTCAAGGAACATTAACAATACGCTAAATAAAACTAAATAAAACTCTTAATTTGTATTAAAATAAAAATGCTTACGGTTTCTCTTTCTTGTAACATTGTACAGGCGCAGAGTGTTGACTCTCTCTGGGGGTATTGAGGAGATTGGTAAGATCAACTGGGAGATTCTTCTGTGTCTCTTTGCAATGTGGATCATATGTTATTTCTGTATCTGGAAAGGAGTCAAATCTACAGGCAAGGTATGCAAGACTATTATATGAGAGAATATTGTCTAGAGAATAACCTATTTATATTTAAACGTTGGGCATAGATTGTTGTTCTATATTGTTTTCTATATTATAAAATATGGCAACTTAAAAAAAATGTTTCTTCAGTTTAAAATGTAGATTTTTTTGTGTTTCGAGGATGAGTTCATGTTTTATTCTATTTATTCTGCTCTCAGTTTCAATATTATTATATTATTGCATTGTGCCTGTAGGTGGTGTATTTCACAGCCACATTTCCTTATGTGATGCTACTGGTGTTGCTGATTCGTGGGTTGACTCTTCCTGGAGCTCTGCAGGGGGTTGTGTTTTACCTGTACCCTGAACTGGCCCGTCTCGCTGACCCACAGGTAACCCCACATGTGCCTTCTACTTCCCTGATGCCTTATAACCAAATAAATGCAAAGGAAAAGTGACAACACATATTAAAGCTTTAAAACACCAGACTATTAATATACAGCTTGGGGTGCTGTGTGTTTGTTTAGGTTTGGATGGAGGCAGGAACTCAGATCTTTTTCTCCTATAGTGTGTGCTTTGGCCCTCTCATTGTACTAGGCAGCTATAATAAATACAACAACAACTGCTACAGGTTAGTATTGAAATAAATGAAAATGAGTGCACAAATGAATAGCTGGCTTTGATTTATTTATGTGTTTGTATAATCTATGTCTATCAGAGACTGTTGGTGGCTTTGCCTTCTGAACAGCGGCACCAGTTTGGTGGCTGGCTTTGCTGTGTTCTCAGTCTTAGGCTTCATGGCCCAGGAGCAGGGTGTCCCCATTGAAGAGGTGGCAGAATCAGGTACTAAAACATTTCATTAAAACGCAGAGGGTATTATAAGGCGAGTGAAGACAAAAGGAAAGTAATGATTAAGAATACAAAATGCTTAAAATAAGATCTCACTCTGTCTCTGTCAGGTCCAGGACTAGCGTTCATAGCTTATCCACAGGCTGTAGCCATGATGCCTCTCCCTCAGGTGTGGGCTGTTTGTTTCTTCATCATGATTATTTTGCTGGGGCTAGATACACAGGTGAGCTAAAATAACACAATCACTTTTATTAATACTCTATATTCATTTACATTGTATATTAAATTTTATTTTTTAATAAAACTATATACTTTTCTTGATAGTCTAATTTTTATAGGTTCTATATTTGCTTTAAGAATTACAATTACATTAAAGTAAAATCAGTATTTCATATACAATCAAATGTTCTATATGTCAACCAAAATATGGATCTTAAATATACAGTATTTAGGCACGTTAGCCTTAAAATGTAATTGACATCACAATGCAGTGCAACCTCATAAACCCTAAAACAACTGTAAAAAAAAAAAAACACTTTAAGGCTTAAATAATACAATACATTTGAAAAGAATAATTCATTTAAGAGTTATTATAGAATTACAAGCTTTAAATTTCTGCTTTTAAACCTATAAAAATGGTACCACACCTTAACCAAAACAAAAGACAATTCTAAACGTCTTGGTTACTAACATAACCTCGGTCCCCTGAGATAACAAGAACAATTAATGCATCTTGCTAGATGCTATGGGGAAAACTTCTCTTTCTACGATTATTGAAGTATTTTATTCAATAACGCAGTGCTACTGCACAGCCATTACAGTCCAGTGATCTTTGCAGGCTTATTGGCTGAGCAGTGGGAACTGCATGAACCTATGGCAATTTGGCGCATCTGTGCGGGCCAATAGGGGCGCATCCCGCCGAACCGAGCGCAGAGCCCCCCAAGGGGGAGGGGCATCTGCCTATATAAGCTGCTCGTCTCGCCATAGGATTCAGGTTAATTCGACTGAAGCGATAAACGGCAAGTTGTGTAGCGCCATAGCACGGCCGTTTATTTATTTATTTATTTATTTATTTTATTTTTTATTTTTTTCATTAGTAACCGAGACGGTCCCTTTCGAAACATTCACTCGTATTGGGACTTGCTAGACGGGGAATCAGTTCAATCATGCCGTGATATGTTTAAGCAGAACGAAATTCCAAGGCCCTGGCCTAATTATGCCCGACCAGAAAGGGTCTCGGAATGTGGTCAGAGCCTCCAGAGAGGTAATAGTGGGTTAAGCTCAGTCAGAGGTCAACTCCAACTAGACAGAGGATTCGTGCCTGCTGTGCAGGAACTTCCAAGTTGTAAAATCTGGCGAAGTTGGACGGCGAGGACCAGCCGGCCGCCACACAAATATCGCCAATAGATGGCCTCTGGTGGCGTGTGCTCTGAAGCATTGAAGGCCCATCGAAGTGTAAGCCAATGCGACAGCTTCCACTATCCAGCGGGACAATCTCTGCTTTGTGACCGGAAGCCTCTTATGGCCCGGACAGGGCAGAGTAAGTGTAATTGTCACTCGTCTTCAGAACCCGGAAGAGCGGACCGCGAACTAGCTTTTGGCACGTAGCGGGGCCTTGGCTTGAGTACGACCTTGGAGTCGTTAGGCCCAAACTCAACGCAGGAAGCACTGATGGAGAGTGCTTGCAAATTGCCCACTGGCTTGACCGATGCCGGCGCTAACAGGATTGGGTCTTAAGCGAAAGTGGCCATAGCTCGGCCAACTGAAGCTGCTCGAAGAAAGGACCGTTTATAGGTCCCAAGAGGGTATGGTAAGAGGACAAGGCGGTTTGAGCCTCCTTGCCTCTTTCAAGAAGCGAACAACCAGTTTGCTTCTACCCAGTGATTGGACGGTCACAGGAGCGGGGTATGCTGCTATAATTAATCATAATAATTTATTACATTTATATAGCGCTTTTCCAGCTATGGCCGCCACATAGACTTGAGCGTGGAGGGGGTGCAACCTGCGTCCATTAGTTCTTGTAGGAAGGAGAGCACCAGCTGTACTTCACATGAGATAGGGTCTTGGTTCAGGACTGTACGCCAGTCTGAGAAAACAGACCACTTAAGGGTGCAGAGGCATCTTGTGGATGGGACTCTATCCTCAGAGATACTATTCAGGCCTCTTCAGGGTTCCAGACTGCGACCAAATTGGTCGCATATGCGACCATTTTTTGAGAATGTGCGAGTTAAAATGTTATGTGGTCGCATTTGTGCGAGTGGACGCTTGAGCAACAGAACGCCGTTGTATCAGCTGCTGCAGTCCGTAACTTATGTTCAAAATGAACGAGTAGGCTACATCATGAATCCATTTTCCAAACCGTGTTTTTGACTTATTCTGAATCACTACGGTACGCCTATAATAAGTGTTTATATTCGTACTATTTTATCCCGGGGTCGTCTCGGCTGCGGAGTAGCCCAGTGCCTGCGTGACTCGCCATAGACATTAACGGAGAGAAGTTCCGTCTACAATGTTCTTCCGCAAGACACGTGCAGTTTATTTATTGACGAACGTAGACGTCACGCGCATTGCACAACGATGGTGAAACGCGCCAATTACGAATTCACGAATTAAGGCATATAAAAATGATAAAAATGGTCTCACGAAACACAGAGCCCCTTCCTCCTACGTCTTTTCAGCGGTTATATTTTCCTCTGTCGAGCGATTACTCTCATGATCGCTCGACAGAGGAAAAGGAAATTATTATAAAATGCAGAAGGTAAGGAGTGTGAGATTTCTGCTTTTTGTTACAACTATAAACTTTGATAACGAAAAATCTGTATCAGTTTATTATAATACTCTAATCTTTTAAAATGTAATGCATACATTTGAATGTTTAATAATTTTTAAAAGATAGAAAGATAGATAGATAGATAGATAGATAGATAGATAGATAGATAGATAGATAGATAGATAGATAGATAGATAGATAGAATATGATTCAAATGTAAATAGATAGATTGTATATAATTCAAATGTAAAATGCTTAAAATTACAGATTAAAATTACTGTCCAAAATCCATGAAAATCCTGAAATTTGGCAATGATAATTAATATATTACAGGTATTTCTGCTGCAACCCAGAAAGCCTTTGCTAGCCTTGGTCCATTAAAACCACTATTCATCAGCATGCATTGATTAATCCCATGGCATGTAGCAAAAAAAAGAAAGAAAAAAAAAGGTGCGACCAAATCATATGCTGGTGCGACCAACTGAGAAAGTTGGTAGCACCAGTGCAACCAGTGGAAAAGTTAGTCTGGAGCCCTGCTCTTGCTTGGAGGTCCGCAAGTTCCCAGTGAGAAACCATACATTGAGTCGGGATGGGGATGACAGATTGTCAGTTTGCCTGGGAGAGGATGTCTATCCTCAGGGGAACTGGCCATGGGGATGCTGCTAGCAGCTGAATCAACTTGGGGAACCAAGGTTGGGTCCGCCAGAAAGGGGCCACCAGAAGGACGGCACGTCTGTCCTCCCTGATCCGTTTGATGATCTGAGGGAGTAGCGCGACTGGGGGTAAGGCGCAAAGGGGGAGGCTGGGCCATGGGCTGGCACATCCCTGCTCTTTGTAAAGAAAATTGGGCAGTGAGATTTGCTTTCGGAGGCTAAGTCGACCTCTGCTCTGCCGAAGATACTCCAAATCGTTTGAACCGTCTGGGAATGGAGGGCCCATTCCCCTGGGACCATGTTTGCCCTGGGACAGCATGTCTGCTCCCTGGTTCAGCCTGCCCGGCACGTGCACGTTGTACCCATAAGAGGAGGCTTCTGGCTAGCTTATACATAGCTTATAGCTTATACCTGATCGCCAGGCATGAGTGGGGACCTGGAGTTTCAGCCAGTACTGCAAGGAGCACATGTTCAGCAAGCCCAGCGGAAGTACTGACAATGCGGAGGCCATTAGGCCTAGCATCCTTTTGAAAATTTCTCAAGGGGAAAAGGCCCCTACTCTGAACAATATTCTGAGCCGCTGGATAGTCTGAGCACGCTCGGGTGTTAGCCACGCCCGCATTTGGGCTGAGTCGGGAACCGCCCTCAGGAAAGAGATTCTCTAGCTGGGAGACCGTGAGCTCTTGGCTAGGTTAATTCTGAGTCCTAGGCATTCCAAATGACTGAGGAGCCACAGATCTGTGATCAATTCTGAAATTAATTCTACTTCTGACTGGGCCAGGATGAGCCAGTCGTCGAGGTAATTCAGGATGCGCATCCCCTTCTGTCTCAGGGGGAAAGTGCTGCATCCATGCACTTCGTAAAAGTGCGTGGTGCCAGGGACAGTTCGAATGGTAGGACCAAATACTGGTAGGCCACCCCATCAAACGCGAATGTCAAAAACGGTCTGTGATCGGGGTTTTTTTTGGATATGAAAGTATGCATCTTACAGATCCACTGAGAAAAGCCAATCCCCTGGGCATACTTGCAAGAGGATTTGTTTCAATGGCCGTCTCATGAGGTCACGATTCAGATGTCTGAGATCCAAGATGGGCATGAGGCCGCCATCCTTCTTGGGAACGAGGAAGTAGCGGCTCTAGAAGTCTGACTTGTGGGAGGAGGAACAGTCTCTACAGCTCCTTTTGCCAGCAATCTCATTACTTCGGTGCGGAGGACGTGTACTACATTGCTCCTTACTCTATTGTCGAATATGCCCTTGAAGCAGGGTGGCCTGCGTGCAAATTGAAGTGAGTAATCTCATGTCACTTTGTTTAGAACCCATTCTGACACGCTAGGGATGGCTTTCCAGGCCTTGGCCCGGGTAACTAGAATCATTTCGGGAGACAGCTCGCTACGCTGGGGCGAGGGAGCTGACGCCCCTGGAATTGGGAAGAGGAAAAGTGCTATTTTGTTGAGTATTTTTGTTTTTTATTTTGTTCGCTATAACAGCGGACAATTGCATGGGTGCGTGAACTTGAACTTAAACATAGTCTGCAATTGCAACATTTACCCCAACAACCGGAACTGAATAGGGTGTTAGGAGGAACACTCAAGACTTTTTGGAGGGTGGTCCGGCCGCAGCGAGACTTAACCCTCCCCTCTTCCTTCCTGGAGGATCAGGACTGCTTTTGAGGTGCAGGGTCAAGCGTTATCTTTGGCCGGGGTCCCTGGCGCTTAAGAGGGAAGCGTTTAGACAGGTGAGGGAGCTGTCGATGCTCAGGAGCTGGCTGTGGCTGAGCGGTCGCAGGCGCTGGCTTGGCTGGCTGCTGAGTCTGCACCGTTTTCTGGCGATTTGTTGCTGCAGAGCTGGAGTGCTTGGGCAGGAAGTGCCTCATTGTCTGCGAAGACTTCTTTGCCACTGTGAAGTGCTCAGCAAAGCTGTCTACCACGGGGCCAAAGAGGCCGGTGGTGGAGACAGGTGAGTCGAAGAAGGCAGCTTTGTTTGCGTTCTTGATCTCTGTCAAATTGAGTGGCACTCCAGCACCACTAGGATGGCTTTGGCTCTTACGGTGGCTTGGGCGGTTGCCTTCGTTCTGTGCAGGGGCGCTGCAGAGGGGGCGCTACAGAGGTCATGGAATGCGGCTGGGTCTGGTCAAGACTCATCCTTAGATCAGAGGAGTTTGGCCTGAAACAACTGAAGGACCGCCATGGTGTGAAAGGTGGAGAGGGGCTCCCTGAGAGCAGCACCGAGTCAGCTTGCCTGAGCGCGCCGATCTGTCAGGCTGCCAGCCACTGAAGAGCAAGGATTCAGCTCGTTCTACTGCTAGGCTGTTTCGACGAGAGAAGGCTCCCTGCAGGAGAGTCAACGTGATGTGTGAAGATCGTCCCTGAAGGAGAAAAAGTCTGAATCCTATAGCGAGGCAAGCTGTTTATATAGGCAAATGCCCCGCCCCCTTTGTCGAGCTCTGCACTCGGTTCGGCAAGATGTGCTCCGATTAGCTTGCACAGATTCGCCGCATCACCATAGGTTTATGTAGTTCCCAGTGCTCAGCCAATAAGCGTGCTTACAGTGCAGATCACTGCACTGTTATGGCTTTGCAGTAACATTGTGTTTTTGAATAAAAGTCTTCAATAATCTGAGAAAAAGGAGTTTTCCCCATATAGACCGCTGTACGTGAGCTGTATCGTTCAGTTTCGTTCCGACAAACGGGGCACTACAATTTCTTTTGCTCAATATGTTCAACGTTAATAAAAGGTATCCAAGCAAAAAATTCTCCACGCATTATCCTGCAGTTAATGAGAAAAGTGTAATTTATTGGCGCACTATATTGACTGCGTATTGAGACATATAAAACTATTGAGCTAGATTTTCAACCAATCAGCATCGAAAATGTAAGTAGGTCACAGCCAAAATCAAGCTAATATCATTACGCACATGTAAACATGGAGGAGGACGTAAGCAGCGCATCTTCATCTGATAGCGGCGATCAAGCTCGATTAACACCCGTAAAGTGTATTTTTCATGTCGGAAAAGATGGTGGGAAATGTCCGCAGCCCTTTACTGAAGTTCGATGGGAACAAATCAAGCAATGTGTGAAGGAATGGCTCAAAACGTCGGACACTACGGAGCTAGCTACGTTATTGATCCCATGCTGCAGGTAAGTTACTTTCATAACATATCAATATTTTTTCAGTATTTTTGGATGATGCTAATTTACAAACTTCCCGATCAGAATCCCGATAAAAACATCGACACAATGAGAGACGTTGTCCTCCGTTGCGTGATCTGTTATCTGGGTGAAAAAGAGGATGACCTCATCCAACAGTACAATGTAAGTGACTAGAATTATTCTATATATTTATGGTGTTTTGAGAAATGTATTTGTACATTGTTTTTATTTATAAAAATAGAAATGCAACTTAAACAATAAGCTTTTTTCTAATTATATTATATAAAGCTAATGTGAAAATATTTAACACAAAATAGATTTTTGTATCTGTTTGTATATAGTTCAGTGAGCTTTGATTTGTATCTGGTATGTTAACTTAAAATAAAAAATATTGATCACAAAAAAAAATTGATTTTTGTCAGCCACTAAAAAGGTAACACTTTATTTTGATGGTCCACTTTAGACATTCTACTGACTAAGTAACTGCAACTACATGTTAACTTAATCTATTAACCCTAACCTAGCAGTCTACTGATACTCTGAGTTAGTTCAGTTGACATGTATTTACTATACAGTTAGTAGAATGTCTATAGTGGACCATCGAAATTTAATTTCCCCCCTACAATAGTGTCACCAAATGTAATTTTACATTTATTTTATTTTTTCTTCCTGAATACACCCTCTGTCATTGGTGAAACTGTACTTATGTTATTGTGACAGTCTGTCTTTGTGGTCCACTGAAACATAATATTTTTATGTTTCAGTTATTACAAAGAAAATAAACTATAATGGTATACTTGTAGTTGTCTTAGCATTTTAAGCTGTTATAAGACATTTTTACAACCGTACACAAATCAAGTTTATAATTATGGACAGACTTATGAAGATAAAAATAATGTTTGTTTTACAGTGTGACAATGGAGATATCCTGCAGCACATAATGAAAATTGCCATCTGCAAGAGGGATTCTCAGGAGTATTTCAGCATTCATCTTGGAGGGGATGCAAGTCATGGCTGGCTTGGAAAATCTGACAAGAGCCTGTGCTGTTCTTCTTGGACTCACGTATGCACTAAACCTCACCTACCCGAAAGAACTGAGGCACACTTTTGAGGCCTTTCAGAAGCTCTTCTTGGAACTGGATGTTTGCAAGTTTTCCCCGAAATTACTAACACTTAAAAACAAACTCATGACTTAGATTGAGACAATGCATTATGACCAAGTTCTGGTGGAAAAAAAACGCCATTGATTGATGAACGTTTAATATTGTTCTACATACAAGCTTTCAGCAAGTACAAATTATTTTATATGTTTTGCTACAAGTTATTCACAAGTTTTAGTCAAGAATGTGACTTTTCCAACAGAAATTAGTATGCACATGTTTTTGTGTAACAAAATGATCTTTCTCAATGACATGGAAAATGTTAGCCTTTTTTTGCTTTTATTTTTCATATCTTAAAACTGCTGTCTTACATTGTATATAGATTTGTTTTATTTGTGCAAAAAATACAGAATAAAAGCATGTTTGATAACAAAAGGTGCATTATGTATTCATTATTATCTTAAACTGAAAAGGCAGTAAATGTTATAATTAAGTAAATTTCATTAATACAAACGAGTAAATTCTGCTTGATTTATTTGTGAGACAACTTAAATTAAAAAAGCAAATTCCACTAATAATATTAAATTCATCATGTGCCATAGACTAAATAATTTAGGACATTTTACTTAATTTATTCGGGTAGATTTCACACACAAAGAAAAACCTTAAAATCTACTCAAATATAATACGTGTAATATTGTTACCATAATTTTTTTAAGTAGATACCATATAATATTTTTTACAGTGTACATGCAGTGCAGTTACTGCTCGTGTATGCGAATTGACAATTCACCATTAAATGTGTTATTTTGAAAAGTGTTTTTTTATATATTATATTTTGGCTGAATTCTATTTGTTATTCAGATTTTACCTCAAATATTACCTTTGAATTGGAACAACATAATGAGAAGTAATTGGGATGTTAATGCTACAGTAGAAGTTTTCTTGATAATCTTATGTTTACTGTGCCTAGATAGCAACTTCAGGTATATCACACATTTCAAACTGGTTTATTTTGTACCTCAAGTGGTAATTTGGCATTTTTTGGGTTTATATGATTAACAGGTTTGAAAGTGCAAAATTCCCTATGGTTTCCCTTTTTTTCAAAATGGGCACCTTTAGCATCATTTTTCTCAAAAACTGCAAGGTTGTGTGCAGAGAACCTTTTCCTAAGGAATCTCTATATATTTCTGATGTTAAATATAAAAAAAGTAGGTAGTGCCCCACTTGGTGGAACGAAACCCTATTTCTAGGCCTCTTTTAGGCTACCGACAGTGGCCTAATAGTGTCTAGCAAGACGCAATACGAGTGAACGTTTCGAAAGGGAATTAATTTTGTGCTAATCAGCATTATACCACAAATGATGCAGACTATAACTTGTTTTGAACCGAGAATTTTCATTAAACTGTATTAAAAAAAATATATATATATTTTATATCTGTAGTATTTTTTAAAAATGCTTATTTAGGTAAATCTATTTTTTTGTTGCTAAATCTGTAGTATTTTTTTTTAAATGCTTATTTAGGTAAATCAATTTTTTTGTTGCTAAATCTGATGAAACTGGGCAGTTTATACTTAGTACACCAATAAGCTTGTCAAAAGAAATGTTTCATAGTTTTAATGCATTTGTGTTGCATCCCTCAAAGTTTGTTGCAGTGGAGTGTATAATTACATCAGTAATGGACTTGTTCCCCATGGTGTTGCGCAGAGCTGGTCGACGAGAAATTTTCCTCCTGCTCTTCTGTCTCACTTGCTTCTTTGGAGAACTCATCTTAGTTACAGAGGTCAGAGGGAGCGTGTGTGTGAGTGTGTGTTCTCGTCCTTTGGCGTCATACATGTGACGCTTTGGACATTTCGTCGAAATCTTACGCACATGGCATCCTTTAGCATCAATATGAGACGCAGAACCCAAGGCGTCATACAGGTGACGCTCGTCTAAATCCGACGCACATGGCATCGTTTAGCGTAAATATGAGACGCAGATCCCAAGGCGTCATAACCGTACCCTACCCCAGACCTAAACCTACCCATAACAGTGCGTGTTATATTGACGCTAAAGGATGCCATGTGCGTAAGATTTCGACGAAATGTCATATGGCGTCACTGTGCTGCTCCTTTAAGAAAGCAGGTAGAAGAATTACTACTCCGCGCTGTTTGTCTCTTTAGACTTGCCGTAGTTCTCAATGCATTCAACAACCCTGAAACACAGCTGAGCACTTTTCATCATCTTTTACACGTTTTCTCTTCATAGCTCTGAAGAACGTATGTCTGTAAGTGATGGTTAAAGTGTATTTTTATGACAACCTTAAGTGAAGATCGTTTGAATTACATATTTGTGTGAAAAGTGTTGAAAATGGTAAAGATGCTAATCGCGTTAGCGTGTCTATGGCGTTTTCCATGTTAAGTTAGCATTCATGCTAATCGCTATATATGTGGTTAATGGGTAAATTTATGTTACTGTATTTTGTGTTTTTCAAAGTGGTATTAATCCTGTGTTAATAAGAATTTAACCTATTCAAGTTTATTAATAAGTACATTTTGTATTTCTGTATTGCAGTTTCACAGTGCTTCTGTTAAAGCATCCTAAACGTCCTACTGCTTCCTGGGTGTTTATTGAAGAACCTGTTAGCTGTCTGCCAAGCTAGAAGTCCTACCCAAATTTTAGTAAGGGCAGAATAGTGAAAAGACACAATTCGACGGGTTACATCTGGAACGTGTTGCCACGTGGAAATGCACAGCAATCTTCATTAAAGCTGCCTTCACTATGGAAGATCTCGAGATACGATCCCAATGCTCTAACACTTCACGTAGCAGCCGGTCTTCTTCAGCAAGTGTTATAGCAGCCAGAGCACGTGCAAAGGCAGAGGCTGCTCGCACTCAAGCATCATTCGCACAAAAAGAAGCAGACATGCTAAAAGCACAAGCATATATCGAGGAAGAACAACAGAAAGCTGCAGCTGTGGCTGCTAGGAAGAAAGCAGAGCTTGAAGCAAACCTACACACTCTGCGACTAGAGGGTGCTGCTGCAGCTGCCAATGCTGAAGCTGAAGTTTTAGAGGCAGCTGCTGAGAACGAAGTAGGGGATCCTGATCGCATTAGCTTAAAGAGTGAATGCGTTGAGCAGGGTTTTGCAACGAATACAAAATTTGACCACCCTCACCATGACTCGCAACCCCAAGAACCGGTGCCAACACCAACACGCCAGCTAGCAATGGAAGCTGGTGAGCCAGATAAAAGAAGCATGGAGAAGGGTACCACGCAGTCAAGTGAAATCAGCGTCCACGAGTTTCAGGAATTACCCGCTCAATACACATTCACTCAAGAACAAGCTCCTTCGAGTTGCCACCATCAAAGTCCATATAAGTACGCTCTGTACGACTTTGAGCGTCCATATCATTCATATCCACTACGAGGAAGTTCTAGCCACAGAGATCACTCACACATGGCTACACTATCAGACAACCATGGCCAACCTTCTCAGCCTTATTCAACTTTTGCTTCCAGAGAGCCCGAGTCTGGTTCAGCAGCTATGTCAGACTTAGCCAAGTATTTGGTACGGCGCGAAATGGTGAGCTCAGGACTCCTAAAGTACGATGACCAACCAGAGAACTATAGGGCCTGGAAGGCATCCTTCTACAGCTCTATAGAGAGCCTACACCTAGCACCAAGAGAGGAGTTAGATCTCCTTTGCAAATGGCTGGGACCAAAATCTTCCGAGCAGGCAAGGAGGATAAGAGCGGTTCATATCCATGATGCAGCAGCGGGTGTGAATATGGTGTGGCAAAGGCTGGAGGACTGTTTTGGATCGCCGGAAGCTATAGAAAATGCTCTTTTTAGGAAAATAGAGGATTTTCCAAAAATCAGCAACAGAGACAATCAAAAGCTGAGAGAATTTGGAGACATTCTTTTGGAGCTAGAGGCTGCCAGAGCAGATGGCTTCTTAACTGGGCTCAGTTACTTGGATACATCTCGTGGCATCACTCCAATTGTTCAGAAACTGCCATACTCCCTGCATGACAAGTGGGTCTCTCTAGCATCACGTTACAAAGAAGCCTACAGAGTTTCATACCCACCATTCTCTATATTTCCAAAGTTTGTCTGTGACCAAGCCAAGATTCTGAACGACCCGAGTTTTGCAGTACTTACTGGTCCAAGCATGAACAAAACTGAAAGACCCTTTAAACAAAACTTAAAAACACCTGTTTCTGTCAGGAGGACGGACGTCTCAGTAGACACTGAGAACCATCAAGACAACACGGGAGAAAATGCACCAATCGACCTTGACAAGCAGTGTCCCCTAGACCTCAAACCACATCCCCTGAGGAAATGCCGTGGTTTCCGAAGCAAACCTTTGGATGAGAGAAAAACCTACCTTAGGGACAAGAACATCTGTTACAGGTGTTGTGCTTCATCCAGTCACCTAGCCAAGAACTGCGACAAAAACATTCAATGCAGAGAGTGCAATAGTGATAGTCACCCAACAGCACTTCATCCGGGACCAGCTCCGTGGACTTCTGGAGCCTCTGTAATGGCGAAAGATCAAGGCGGGGAGCAAAGGGAAGGAGCCTCTTTAGCTATCACATCCAAATGCACAGACATATGTGGGACTGCTTCGAGGTCAAGGTCATGTGCAAAAATCTGTCTTGTCAGTGTTTACCCAGTAGGCCATAGAGAAATAGCCGTGAGAACCTACGCTGTTGTCGACGAACAGAGTAACAGATCTTTGGCAAGAAGTGAGTTTTTTGAGCTCTTTGACATCAAGGAAGGTTCAGCCTCATACACATTGAAGACATGCTCAGGAGTCATTGATAACATAGGGCGACGAGCTAACAACTTCGTCATGGAGTCTTTAGATGGTAAGAATCAGATCCCACTCCCATCTCTGATCGAATGTGATATGTTGCCGGATGATAGGTCAGAAATTCCTACGCCAGAGATCGCCAAACACTATTCTCATCTCAAAGGCGTTGTGGGCAAGATCCCTCCACTTGATCCCACAGCAGCCATCCTTATCCTACTCGGACGTGATGTACCAAGAGTGCATAAAGTCCGAAAGCAGTGCAACGGACCTCATAACGCACCCTATGCCCAACGCCTCGATCTGGGCTGGGTTATCATAGGAGAAGTGTGCTTGGGGTCAGCTCACAAACCAGACTCCATCAGTGTCTACAAGACTAACATACTGAGTAATGGCCGTCCATCTCTTTTTGATCCTTGTCCAAATAAGCTTCACATCAAAGAGAAGGTGGATGTTCAAGTACTTCAACCTGGAGTTGCACATCTCGCAGATGTTGACAGCCTGTTTAGGGAAACGGATTGTCTTGGTAAAGGAGTCTTCCAACAAACGGCCCAGGATGACAAGCCTGCGATGTCTGTGGAAGATAAGATCTTTCTGGAAATCATGGACAAAAAGATGTTTATGGATGACTCAAACAGTTGGGTGGCTCCATTGCCCTTCAGAGAACCAAGGCGCAAACTTCCCAACAATAGAGTACAAGCAGAAAACCGTCTCAAGACACTACATCGTAGGATGGAAAGAAGTCAGGAAATGAGAGAACACATGCTTGCATTTATGCAGAGAATCTTTGAGTCAGGACATGCAGAACCAGCTCCCCTGCTTCCCAGAGACCAAGAGCGCTGGTATTTGCCAATTTTTGGGGTTTACCATCCACGCAAGCCAGGTCAGATTCGAGCTGTATTCGACGCCAGTGCTAAGCATGATGGTATTTCCCTGAATGACCTCCTTTTGAGCGGCCCTGATTTAAACAACTCGCTACTTGGGGTACTTACTCGCTTCCGTAAAGAACCGGTTGCTGTAGTAGCAGACATAGAGCAGATGTTCTACTGCTTCAGGGTCTGCGAGGAGCATCGTGATTTCCTGCGGTTCCTCTGGTTTCAGAACAACGACCCTGCCAGAGAGGTTGCAGAGAACCGCATGACTGTCCATGTATTTGGAAATAGCCCCTCTCCAGCCGTTGCCATATATGGTTTAAGAAGAGCTGCTCTACAAGAGGAAGACGAATATGGCCTGGAGGCAAAACAGTTTGTCTTGAGAGATTTTTACGTGGATGACGGTTTGGCCTCATTTCCTACCAGTGACCTCGCCGTTCATGTACTAAAACAGACTAAAGAAATGTTAGCAGTTTCAAACATTCGACTACACAAAATAGCATCCAATCACAAGGCTGTGATGGAGGCATTCCCACCCGAAGAACGGGCTAAAGAGCTAAAGGGTTTAGCACTGGGGGTAGACCCTCTACCTGTGCAGAGAAGCTTAGGGCTCAACTGGAACCTTCAGAGCGACAGTTTCACTTTCTTTGTCTCCAGAGAAGAGAAACCATTCACGCGCAGGGGTGTTCTCTCAACAGTCAACAGTCTGTTCGACCCACTTGGTTTTGTGGCTCCAATAACAATACAAGGGAAGTCACTCGTCAGAGAACTTTCGTCAGAGTGTTGTGAATGGGATGCCCCATTGCCTGCCGAAAAAAAGACAAGGTGGAAGACCTGGAAAGATTCGCTCATTGCACTCGAGCAGCTTCAGATTCCACGGTCATACTTACCTGTTTCTTTGGTCTCTACACAAGTCAGGGAACTGTGTGTCTTTTCTGACGCCTCTACCACAGCTATCTCTGCAGTAGCTTACATCAGAACAGTTGACAATCAGGGAAATATTCAGGTTGGATTCTGCATGGGGAAGTCCAAATTGCCTCCAAAACAGTGTCACACAGTACCACGTCTGGAGCTTTGTGCAGCCGTACTCGCGGTAGAGCTTGCAGACACGTTG